TCAGAATTGTGAAATATAAACACAGAGTTGGGGGAAAAAAAAATCTGATTTGCGAGATAAAGTCATATAATAAGCTTTTTTCAAATCCTGTAGTGGAAACAAGCTTCCATGTTTATAATATTTATTCCATGTTTAAAAACATTCTGGGGTCGCTGTATTGCTTTGTTGGTGTAAACAGCACTTTGGTGGTTTGTTGAAAAGTTTTTATGCTTTACGCTATGCCTCTGGATAGTTATGAAAGAAAATCGGTGTGGTAAAAGGACTTCATGTCATGCGTCTTACTGACATACAAATAGTAACTGTGTGTACTGTAATATTAGAATGATATACATGTAAAATATAATATATTTTTGGTTTAAACAGCAAAAGGTACCACTTGTGTCAAATCAAATTGCACATCTGTAATGCAAAATAAACAGAGCACGTACGATCGGCCTCCATTAAAGACCAGTGGCTGCGCCGAGAGGCCTTTTCTCCTTAAATAAAACATTTCCACCATCATCATGTCTGATCTTGTTTTGCTCTGCCTGTGATCTGCCGTCCGGCCCAGAAAAGCCAGTCAAATTTGGGTAGCGCCGCTCGCCAACCTGTGGCCTGGAGAAACAACATGCTTAGGAAGATCAAATGGGATGGGAGATGTGTAATTACTGGTGGTTATGAAAACTGGCTGTCATCCTCAACGTGGCGAATTCAGAGCCGCCCGAGGACAGCCGAGGCAGACACGCCTGCAAAAGCTCTAATCCAGCACACTTAACTAGAGAGGCAGGCTGTTGCTTCACCTCGCTTAGTTTGGAGTTTAATACGGAGGCAAATGAATCGTGGACGGTAGGCCCGGGCGCTATATATTCAATGTTCACCATGCATTTGACTACAAATATAACATTTTAAGCTTGATTCATTTCCGTGAATCAGTTCAAACTCAAATGAATTCAGAACTTGATTTTAACCTTTTGTTAGCATCACCACCAGTGTTGGGGAAAGTTACTTTTAAAAGTAATGCATTACAATATTGCGTTACTCCATAAAAAAGTAACTAATTACATTACTTAGTTACTTTTTATGGAAAGTAATACATTACGTTACTTTTTAAATCTGGACAGGGCTTGCTTGTTTGATTTTAAAATAAAAAAGTTCTATTTTTGGCAAATATAAAAGCCTTTTCACACCAAAAGTGAAATGAATAAGCCTCAGGCTGAAGGGAAAGTAAATTTACGTCCGTACAGTAGAATGCAGAAGAAGACATTTCAACACACTTCAGCAATAAAAAAAACACACAAATGTTTGTCTAGAGTCATTTTTGCTTAGTATGGTTGAATTGGATCATCGAAGAAAAGACATTGGTTAATATAATGGGATTAAATACATAAAGGATATTTGTGTTGTTTAACATTTAATTATTGCAGGTATGCGTCATATTCTGAGTTGCATTATTTTTATTCATTTTGAGGAATACTGAATCTGTGTTTTTTTGGAGGTTTTGTGTGAGTGAGATGAATTAATGCATATTCATATTTATTTTAGAACTACAGGAACATCTTCTGATTTCT